TGCTATGATGCCGCTTCCCACTAGCTATTTTACATTTGGTAGTGTATATATGTTGATGCTACTCTCACTTCACCCCAGCTTCCCCATCCCATCCCGTGTCCTCAAGTCCATTCTCTAGGTCTATGTCTCTGTTCCTGCCCTGCAACTAGGTTCATCAGTACCATTTTTTTCTTAAGATTGCATATATATGCGTTAGCATACAGTATATGCTTTTCTCTTTCTGAGTCACTTCACTCTGTATGACAGACTCTAGGTCCATCCACCTCACTGCAAATAACTCAATTTCGTTTCTTTTTATGGCTGAGTAATATTCCATTGTATATATGTGCCATATCTTCTTTATCCATTCACCTGTTGATGGACATTTAGGTTGCTTCCATGTCCTGGCTATTGTAAATAGAGCTGCAATGAACATTGGGGTACGTGTCTTTTTGAATTATGGTTTTCTCAGGGTATATGCCCAGTAGTGGGATTGCTGGGTCATATGGTAGTTCTATTTTTAGTTTTTAAGGAAACTCCATACTGTTTTCCATAGTGGTTGTATCAGTCTACATTCCCACCAACAGTGCAGGAGGGTTCCCTTTTCCCCACACCCTTTCCAGCATTTATTGTTTCTAGATTTTTTGATAATGGCCATTCTGACCAGTGTGAGGTGATAGCTCATTGCAGTTTTGATTTGCATCTCTCCAATAACTAGAGATGTTGAGCCATCTTTTCATGTGCCTCTTAGCCATCTGTATGTCTTCCTTGCTGAAATGTCTATTTGGGTCTTCTGCCCATTTTTTAACTGGATTGTTTGTTTTTTTGATATTGAGCTCCATGAGCTGTCTGTATATTTTGGAGATTAATCCTTAGTCCATTGTTTCATTTGCAAATATTTTCTCCCATTCTGAGGGTTGTCTTTTCATCTTGTTTATGGTTTCTTTTGCTGTGCAAAAGCTTTTAAGTTTAATTAAGTCCCATTTGTTTATTTTTCTTTTTACTTCCATTTCTCTAGGAGATGGGTCAAAAAAGATCTTGCTTGGTTTATGTCAAAGAGTGTCAAAAGTGCCTACATTCCAAAGTTTAACATTCTAGCTATGGTGATTCTCCTGTGAGCACAGCCTCTCTGTCTTAGGCCTGGGTCAAACTGGGTCACAATCTTGGGACAGGGGAGGGGTGTTTGAATTGCTGTTACTTATAGCTTGAAGACCCCAGAAAGCAGTTTGAAGGCTCAGCTATGTAACTCATGGCTGAAAGGGCCCAAACGGACCATATGGGACCACTTTGGTTTTTCCATGTGAAATAGTATGGCTAGGTCTAGAAGAGCCTTTCCCTTTTTAAAACTCATCACATTGAGAAGGAAGGTTGACAATTTTCCTAGAGACCCTAAACTACTTGCTCAAATTAGAAATAATTAAAAAATTAAATGAGTGCCAGGAATGTCTATGGTATTGCTGGTTTCCAGTAAATGCTTATTGGTAAGTGAATTACTATTACTTCCAGTTATACCAGATTATCCAAAAATGGCTTTCTTAACTGGGGGGAAGAAAGCAGATGATTTTTGCAGTTCAAGTTGTTTTACAACTTTCTGTACATTGTAATTCGGTTAAAAGAAAGTCCATTGTTATATAAATTAGAAAGTTTCCACAGCTGTTATCTCTTCTATTCTCTTTTAGAAGTTACTATTTAACTAGGAAGGAATTAATTTATTTTTTAAAGTGTATATGAAAAAAGTTCTATGTGTGTATAAATATATATGTGAAGAATTTCTAAAGAAGCTGCTTGTGAAACAAATAGGGGTTTTACATCCTGTGAAACGTCTTAAAATAAAAATAGTCATAAAATGCATGCTTTTTGGCTAGATAAGTTTTTATATAATCATATATATATAATATATAGAAAATATTTATAAAATATTTAAATATAATTATATATATATATATATATATATATATATATATATATATGTTTAAAAAACCCTGTAAATATTGCCACAAGATGGCACTAAAATCTAATGAACACGCCAGTCTCTGGCTGATCTTGTCTCCGAAGAGTTGGGGGGTGATTTACAGGAGATCTGTAGGAGACAGTGGACAAAAAAGGCCAAATAAATAAAGCTGAAGGAAGATTGGAGGTAGATTAACATCCTCCCTTTTGTCTGAAGGATAACTTCCCTCTCTCGCTAGTGTGGGTATCTGTCATACAACGAATCTAAAGGTTACTAAAGTTAACTATTAAAATGATTTGCTCTCCTTGACAAGTCAGTTTTATCCTTGCCCTTTGCCAGTGTATTGTGAAGGGAGAGCAGCGGCAGTGAGGAGGCCATTAGGCACATCCCCTAGTTTGGGAGAGTTTATCCCGTGAGTGGTACAGTATTTGAAGTAGCCAGTCTTCACAGAGCTTGTCAAAGGATCCTGGACATGAAAGTGAAGACCATGAAAAGAAGCTGCTGCAGAATACGGATTTTTCTACTTGTTTACTTTGGCATAATTTACCAACTGAATATTTTTAGAAATTACTGCAGTATTGAGATTCAAGCTTGGAACACCTCATATAATATGTCTGAGAGTCAGGAAATGAGTGAATTGAATCCCTCTTCCTGATTCTTTGTATTCCAGTTTTTTAAAAAATACATGGTACAAAACTTTAATTGTTTGATACTTTCTTTTTTTTTTTAAGGTATGCGGGCCCCTCACTGTCGTGCCATCTCCCGTTGCGGGGCACAGGCTCCAGACGCGCAGGCTCAGCGGCCATGGCTCATGGGCCCAGCCGCTCCGCGGCATGTGGGATCTTCCCGGACCAGGGCACGAACCCATGTCCCCTGCATCGGCGGGCAGACTCGCAACCACTGAGCCACCAGGGAAGCCTGATACTTTCTTAATATTTGAAGCTTAAGGACATAGCCAAGATTCCCAAGCTATATGAAGATAAAGGAAAGCAGTGTTAACAATACAGCTATAAAAGGTTTTGATTAAAGGAAGAAAAATTTAGATTTTTCTAACAGGCAAACTGAAATTAAAAGAAAAGAAAAAGTTGCTAGATTGGAGCCCTAAACAAATGATCCAAAAAAAAAAAAACCCTTACTTTCTCCCACGGGATTACACTTGGAGAAATTATTTACTTACTGACAGTTCAGTTCCTTAGATCTGAAAAACAAAATCAAAAAAACAAAAACATTAGGCATTGTAGTGGAGATAATCCAATGTGAGGGAAACAGTTTTGGTCACTTGAATGAGGATGGGCTCTGGGGGTTTGTGGCACTAATGTCGTATTTGACCTGATTGTATCTGCGGCGTCCATTTGGGGACCTACATCTCAACATATGAATCATGTGTGAAAACACCATGGCTCAGCTACAGCTGGCTGCCCGGGTTTGGTTGGATGGTTGGTAAAGCAGTCTGGAGTTTGAGGTAAGAGACTCCAGAAAGTTCCAACTGAGTTCCTGAGCATTTAGGCGAATTCTCCACAGTCGTTTACTGATTCTTGCATAGGGTCAGGCATTATGCTTAGGGCTTTAAGATGCTGAGATAAGACAGAATCCAGGCCCTCCAACAGCTTCCAGTCAGAGGGGGAGGCAGAAATATGAGGCAATAACCTCATCATGATGTAGTGGGTCTCTCCTTTCTGAAAAACCAGTAAGCATCCCCCTGCCTCCAGAATAGATATGGCCCAACCTGGGTAGTTGGTTCCTCCATGACTGGCGTCCATCCTGAGTTTCACCTCTCTCTCTCTCTCCACCGAGGGCAGCCACACTAAGCTATTCCCTGTTCCTAGAATTTGTCCTACTCTTTCCACATCTCTGCTTTTGTTCAAGCTGTTCCTCCTTCCTGGGAGATTCTCCCTCCCTCCCTCCCCCTTCCCACCTCTTCTGTCGATTGAGATCCATTGGCTTAGGTTCTTCTAGCTCAGACATAGGTGTCATCTCCTGCAGAATTCAAGGAATAGATGAATTAAGTCCTGGTGGGAGCAGAAGACTAGGGATCTAGCACCCCACCACACATTAATTTGCTGTGTCCCAGCCTGCAAGTTCCTCCTCCCACTCCCTGGGGCCGAAGCCTATTCTTGCCCAATGGGGTGTGGGGTGGCTGGATTTTATTGTACTATTTACTCCAGACAGTTCTCAACCTTATGACCAGGATCCGAATTAATCCTGCCAAACCAGGGCTGAGTCTGCCTTTTTCTGCTTGCTAACTTCCTCCAAGTGGACCTGAAGTTCTGCAACCAGCCTCGACCTTCGCTTTTCACTGCCCCCCCTTCCCCCAATCTTCACCTAGGGACCTAGGCTGGGTGCCGAGAAGGGGGTAGGAGGGAGGACTTGTTAGAGCCAGAGGCTGGGCCCAGGCCTACCCAGCTTACAGCCACCCTCTCAGAGATCCAAACCCAGGGCTCAGGGCGAATACCGGGTGGAGGGATGGGGGCGGCGGACTCGACCAGGGGAGGGGCCGCTTCTGAATTAAAGACAAAAAACCCCCGACAACCTTGCTTGGAATCAAACGTGTGTGTGTGTGTATATGTGTGCCTCTGTGTGTGTGCGTGTGTGTGTATTTAAAAACAAAACCACATTAAAGGAGCCGCTCCCTCCCCCACAGGTCCGACCACCCGCTGGGAGTTTGCGAAGCAAGGGGGCAATTTTGAGTGGGAGGGAGTCATCAACGGCCCGCAAAGTGCCGCCTCTCTCGGAACCGCTCGTCCAGACTCCGCGGGCTCCGGGCAGCTATCTCCAGCCCTCCCGCTTCGCGCGCACAAGCTGCGGCGAAGACGGGAACCCAGGTTCCACCCGAGCCCCGCAGGGGCGGCCGCCGCGGCGTTAAGACTCCCCAATCGCCGCCTCTCCCAGCCCGGCGGTCTGGGCCGTCAATCAAGCTCTCCCGGCCCCGCCCCTGGGCTGCAGCGGACGGCCAATCAGAGCCAAGCTCCGCAGCGGTGAGCTCAGTCGGCTTGCTTCCCATTGGGCGGCTATATTAAGAAAGTCGCCAAACTCTTTAAATAGAGGGCGCTGGGGCCGCAGCCCGCATCTGCCACCGCAGTCTGGCTGCGCTCGTGTGTTCACTTGTACCTTTGCTGAGGCCTAGAGAGACCCGGGAGGGAGCTAGGCCGGGTCCGCTGCTCTAGCCACTTTTTGCGCACAAAGGCGCCGACCCCAGGCCCAGGACAAGGCGAGCGGCCACCGCTCCGGAGCAGCGCGGAGACGCACGGCGCGCCCTATGCCCCGAGGCCTCCACCTACCCCGCCGCGGCAGCCCGAGCACAGCGAGAGAACGCGCCACCCCGGGGCCTGGGTGCAGCTAGCAACCCCAGGCGCGCAGCCCGAGGTGAGCAGTGAGCGGCGAACGGGACGGCAGCGAGGCGTTCGCGGGCCCCCTCCTGCTGCCCGGGCCCGGCCCGCTCATGGCGGCCATCCGCAAGAAGCTGGTGGTGGTGGGCGACGGCGCGTGCGGCAAGACGTGCCTGCTGATCGTGTTCAGTAAGGACGAGTTCCCCGAGGTGTACGTGCCCACCGTCTTCGAGAACTATGTGGCCGACATCGAGGTGGACGGCAAGCAGGTGGAGCTGGCGCTGTGGGACACGGCGGGCCAGGAGGACTACGACCGCCTGCGGCCACTCTCCTACCCGGACACCGACGTGATCCTCATGTGCTTCTCGGTGGACAGCCCGGATTCGCTGGAGAACATCCCCGAGAAGTGGGTGCCCGAGGTGAAGCACTTCTGCCCCAACGTGCCCATCATCCTGGTGGCCAACAAGAAAGACCTACGCAGCGACGAGCACGTCCGCACAGAGCTGGCGCGCATGAAGCAGGAACCTGTGCGCACGGATGACGGCCGCGCCATGGCCGTGCGCATCCAAGCCTACGACTACCTCGAGTGCTCGGCCAAGACCAAGGAGGGCGTGCGCGAGGTCTTCGAGACGGCCACGCGCGCCGCGCTGCAGAAGCGCTACGGCTCCCAGAACGGCTGCATCAACTGCTGCAAGGTGCTATGAGGGCCGCTCCCGCCCCGCCTGCCCCTGCTGGCGCGCCTCCCCCTCCCGGGCCCAGCCCCCGCGAGCCCGGGGAAGGGGAGACCCGCGTGCCCCAAGGACCCCACCGGACTGCCTGGTGTCTGCCTTCAGCCCCGGCAGACGTGGCCCGGCGGCTCAGGCTCTGGCGCCGGGAATCCGCGTGGTAGGCACCGGGCGCCTGCTTTCCAAGTGTCTGTGCGTCCGGCTGTGTTGCACAGGCCTGGCCGCCCCGCTGAGTGCCAAGGGTCCCCTGACCACCCTTTAGTGAAGAGTCAAGCCTCTTCAGAGTGTGTGGCTGTGTGTATGTTCGACTCCCCGCCGCCGGGTTTTCACCCCCATGCCTGCCTCTGCCTCCCGGAGACGAGCTTGGCACTGGGGTGCGGCCGCGCCCCATCAGATGTTCGTCCATAACCAGCGAGCGCCTGCTATCCCCTGTCTGTAACATAGACCTCGGAAACTGCGGGAGGGGAGGGCTGGGGAGGATGGGGTGTTATATAAATATAGATATAATTTTATTTTCGGAGGTAGGATGGTGTTATTTAATGGTGGTGGTGGGTGGAGTGATGGGGCGCTGGAACAGCTCCGGCCCAGCCTGGGTCAGGCGTCCATCCCAGCACGAACAAGACTTGGCCATCTTTCCAAACCCTGGGGAGGACGTTTGCAGCCGACTTGGGGATGAGAGGACACAGCTTCTAGACTCATGGCTCCTGCGGGCTAGCCCCCCCCCCCCCCCCCCCCCCCCCCCCGCCCCCGTTATAATGACCAGAAATGTCTCCAGACACACACACACACACACACACACACACACACAATTTTTGCTGGTAGTTCTGGACTGGCAAGCTTGCTCTGTGGCCAGAATCAGCTTCCTGCTACTTGCTCTGACCCTTAAAAATGTTTCCCCCCCCCCGCGAACCCCCTCACCAGACACAGGCAGGAGGAGGGAAAGTGTGCTGCAGGTCGTTTTTGCCATAAGCGAACTTTGTGCCTGTCCTACAAGTGAAAATCGTTCAGTCCAAGAAACTGATGTTATTTGATTTATTTAAAGGCTAAAACTTGGGTGGTCTTTTTTTGGGGGGGTGGAAGAATTCTTTGCACAATTGTTTCATTGTTTGACATTTAATGCACTTGTCATTTCCATAAGACAGTAGCATTCTGACCACACTTGTACACTGTAACCTCATCTACTTCTGATGTTTTTAAAAAAATGACTTTAAAAAAAAGGAGAAAAAAAAGAAACCACTAATTTTTTTTCTTTTGAAAAAAGTGGCAACACTGTTCTGTTTTGCGATTTTATTTGTGCAGGTATGCGCACTCTTTTGAGAAAGGGCAGTAACAAGTGTTAGAGCCTATCTAAAACCTTTTTTTTTTTCCCCCCACAAGTCAGTCTCTAAAGCTGTGTGAAATTTTCTCTGCATCTCTGTACAGAGAGTAAACCTGCCCCTAGTGTCTCTTTTCTCCCCCTCCCTTCCCCATCCAGTGGTACTTCTACTAAATTGTCTTGTTTTTTATTTTTTAAATAAACTGACAAATGACAAAGTGGTGAGCTTATGATGTTTACATAAAAGTTCTATAAGCTGTGTATACAGTTTTTTTATGTAAAATATTAAAAGACTATGATGATGACATTTATAAAATGGCTCCTGTGGTTTAATAATGTGTTAAAATATTCTTGTGAATTTGGGGGCAAGGGCAGAATTCTGCAGTGGAGGTCCCACCAACTCAGTTTCCCTCATAGTGTTTGTAAGAAATGGGGATGAAATCCCTTCGAGGACGTGTGGGGTTGCGTGGCCATGGGAGACCAGCTTCTTCCCGTCCCAGTCCCAGAGGTTACCCCAACACCCAGTGCCCAAACCTTTGACCTAACGTGTACTGTTTGTATTCTTAAGCACTTGTGTTGAAGTCTAGTATGGGGCCTTTGCTGCCTATTCTTTGAAACTTGGAAAGGTGTCATTTGTGCATTTAAAATTTAGATGACTTTTTTGTTGTTGTTGTTAATCACCGGTGTGGGACCAGGCTCTCTGTCCAAAAGACTGGTTCCTGGGTTCCCTTCAGATCCTCATGGGGTTACACAATACCCCCTGAGATTGTAGGGTGTTATCTCTGGCCTGAGCTCCTGGGTGGAAGTTGGGGAGAGCCCAGATCAGAAGCTGATTCTTCTATCCTTGAAGTTTCATCTGAAGGTCTATACGTAGCCTAAAATGCTTTATTCTAAGTGCCAGGAGTGGCCGCATTACGGACAGAACACGAGGCTTTGGGTGGCTGTTATTGAAAGTTGGGGCAGGCACACTGACGTGGAATCATGATGAGCTCTAATTTCAGACAGTTAGCCTGCTGCAGTGGGTACCAGAACCAGACAGGCAGATTTATCTTCAGAGACCGTATTAAAATCCCGCTACAGGTATGATGGCTCAAATCTGCCAGCCTCAGCAGCTTCGAGGAAATGTAGCAGATACTGCCAACCTCTCCCAACTACAGAAGACCGTGGTTTTTGTTTTTGGAATCAACACTTTCTGGGTTTCTAGCCCTTAGTTGCCTGCTGCCACTGTCCTCCCCCGCCCGCCCCCCCC